TTAAAAAAAAGAAGAAGAAAAGAAAAGAAAGAGAAAATGGCGCTCAACTTCTGCGTCCCGGGAATCGCTAGGGTCCAAGCCCAGACACTGTGGTACCAGCTGCAGCACCAGGAGAGCCCTGGCCACTAGCTCCTTAGCCCTCACTCAATCAACCACTCACAAGCCCACTCACTCACCAGCACATACACAAAATTTTCCATACACTCCCTCACTCACCCAGGGACTCGCATAATCTGGCTCAGCTGCCATCTTCCCCACCCACAAGGCTTGTTAATGATGACTCTAAAATACAGCAAAAGTGTTCTCTGAGGCATATTTTTAGATTGTTAATCTAAAATTTTTAGGTTTCCAAATTTCCCTCCAAGATCTACCCAAAATGACTGTCTCCAATTTAGCTGAGAAACACAAAATATCTCACCCTGGCAGGGTCCACTCTGCTGCCTGCTCCATCAGGTACACCATCCTGCCTCAACTCCTACTCCAAGGATCTCAAACTCATATTTCCACATGTCATATCACCTGGAAGCCTGTTTAAAATGCTGATTCGCAAGCCCCCCTGAGTCAGAAACTCTGAGCTAAATTCAGGAACTGCAACTGGGAATTGGCATTTTGTTAGGCTTCCAGGCAGGTAGTCTGAGAAATGATATCAGGTCTGCATGCTCTCTGACTTCGGTTCAGGTTCTGGAATGGAGAGAACCTGACACATGGGAGCCTAGAGTCCTCCCAGTGGCACACAGCACCTGTCACCCGGGTATCTTGGGGGCCTCTGTTGCTTTATCTTCTTGCTCAGCCTCTGCTGCCCAGACTTCTGTCTAGTGTTTGGATCCTGTGGCCTCCAGCTCTAGTCCTCCTCCCTCCAAGCCCCAGTACCTCTTCTCTCTTGTGTAGCACAAGCCTGTTCTCAGGGAATGACCCTCATGTTCTCTGGTAGAACTCCTCTATAATATAGTGTTTGCTCCAGGTGTCCTGCTCTACCTTCTCTCCCTGACTGCTTCTCCCTCCCCTAGCCACATTTACAGAGCCCTGTCCTGGGGTGTCCATCTGTCCCACCAGACTCTGAACTACTGAGGGCAAGAATCACCTGTGTCTTGCTCACTGGGTCCTCAACACCCAGCCTGAAATGTAGCAGGAATGTCACGAGTCTCAAATGAACAGCTGATACTATAACAAAAGCACCTGAATTTTGTCCAGGTGGCACGATGCCTCAGATTGCAGACTCTACCACTGCCAAATGCTTTTGCATGCTGTTTCCTCAGCTGGAAAGGCAGTCTTCATCTCCTCCACCCTTACATGGCTACCTGCCTCTGATTGGCTTTTCCGGCATTCAGTCTTCTGTGGCTTCTGAAGACAGGAAGGGTGCCCCTGGAGAGTGCCCTGTGTCTACCTGACCCCACACTTACCACTCTGCATTCTAATAGTCTGTTTGACTGAATCCTCTTCCAGATTGGAAACTCCTGAAGAACTGTAACTTCAGTGCCCATCATGATGCCCAGCACACAGGTGCTCAAGAAACATTTACCAAAAGTGAACTCAGGGTATTCAGGCAGTGAGATGGGGTTCTGATCACATGGCTGCTGAGGAAACCACCACGACACTGACCCTGTTGTAATGAAATCATCACTATGTCTCCTACTCCCACTGCTAGAAGGAAAGCTCCTCATGGCAGTGACTGGGTTTTTGCTCATCTTCACACGGCAGTTCATCATGGGTCAACAAGCATGGATTAAGTAGTTCTTCAACCCTGTGTTTTCCAAGAAGGATGCTTTAGGCATTTGGAGCAGGAGAATTCTTAACTGCATAAGGCTGCCCCACTCACTGCAGGACTTGCAGATGTCCTTGACTGTTGGGAGCCAGCCTTGGAGGCCCACCTGATTGACAGGGTCCTAGTGGGTCCACCTGACTTGACCTGCCCACTGAATGTCATTGAAGCCCAGCAACCATTTTGCCAACCATACTCCCCCATCCATATGCATAAACTTGCAAAAGTTTCGCAGGTACAAAGGCCAGCAGGAAAATAGTACTGCCCATAGTTGAGAACCTATAGTTAACGCAAATTTTTTTGACAGTGAGTGAGAAGCAATGGACGGGACCAGTGCCATGGTGAATGACTAGAGTGTTGCATGTGTCAACTGTAACAAACAGAGTATCTCTAAAAGAAACGATATTTATTCGGGAATAAAGCACTGCAAAGGGGATATGCTTGCCTTAGTAAACTATGAGCATATTTGGGAAAGTAAAGGAAGACAAAGGTTTTGTTTGTTTGTTTGTTTGTTTGATTTTTGATTTTTATTTTTTGAGTCAGGCTGTAATACAGTGGCACAGTCATGGCTCACTGCTGCCTCGACCTCTGGCGCTCAAGTGATCCATCCACATCAGCCTCCAGAGTAACTGGAACTACAGGCTCATGCCATGATGCTCAACTAATTTTTTGATTTTTTTTGGTAAAGTTCTCACTATGTCACCCTGGCTGGTCTCACACTCCTAACCTTAAGCAATCCTCCCACCTCCACCTCCCAAAGTGTGAGGATACAGGCATGAGCCACCATGCCAGGCCAACCAAAGGTTTTTAAAGAAAAAAATGAGGAAGATTACATCGTTGTTTTGAAATAATTATCTTTGGCTACAAGGCACCAGCTTGAGATTGGACAGGCAATTGGTGGGCAGATGTGCTTGCAGAAGCATTTTTTGTGTAAGATTACAAGGGCCTTTGTGTAAGGTTGTAGATTTTGCAGTCTTTTGTAATGGTTTTTGTTAGCAGGCATTTATACATGAGGATGCTCCCTTCCTGATCTTCCTAAGCTTAACGTGTCAGGGCTTGTTTAAATATTAGTGACTCCATTTTTATTCTGACAACTTTCACACGTGTGGTGGTATGAGGTGGGGATAGGAGGTGCCATCTCTTACTATCAGCAGATAATAGTAATTTTTCTTTATCATAACAGTTCATCTTTATTAGCAATTATATACTCCAAGAACTAGGCTGTGTTATACGAGCGGTAGCCCCCCCAAAAAAACTGGAATTATCTTTTGGAAGGCAGAGGCCTCTTGTAGTATACTCGGAATTTATTCCTCTGGATCAAATAGCCAACCAAAGTTTTTATCTAGAAGTTTTGAGAAGGTTGCATCACGATTTGCAGAAGAAACATCCCGAGTTGTGGCAGACAGGTAACTAGTTCTTCCACCATAACAGCATAGCTGCCCACACTGCACTGAGATTTCAGCCGTTTTTGACCAAAAACAGCATGACCCCCACGTCCCACCCTCCTTATTCACTCAGTCTCTCCCCGAGCGACTTTTTTTTGTTATTGTTTCCCCAGATGAAAAAAAGTCCTCCAAGGGAAGCGTTTTGCCAATGTGGAAGAGGCAAACAAAAAATGGTAGAAGCACTAAAAGACATCAGAATTGACAATTTCAGAAACTGTTTTGAGCAGTGGAAAAAGTATTTCAATAGGTGTATTGCCTCAAACGGAGAGTACTTTGAAGGTGACTGACATTTAAACATGCAAGAATAAATACACAACTTTTTATAAATAAATTATGAGTTGTTTTAGTCTCCCCTCATACATGGATTACTTCATCTTCATAACCACGTGCGAGACTCCATTTTTTTAAAGAAAACTGAGAGTGAGAGGGTTTCAAGTCATTGACCCAAGTGAACACGACTGGCTACTGGCAAGGCCAAGAAGTGCCCCAGACGCCTGACTTCACTGCTCTGTGCTGACCTCTTTAATAAGAACAAAAGTGAAAATTCCCAGATGCAAGATTCCTATTAAAACTTGTCCGCTCCTATTAATTATAATGTAGAACAGTGTTTCACAAACTGTATTCTGCACAGTGTTAATTTAGTGGGATGTCAAGTGCTGTGAGGATAACAGTTCCATGGGCGATGAAGTATGAGAAATGCTTTCGTAAAGGCGTTTGTAGAAGGCCATGAAACAGAAACTGTGAAGATGACAGGAATCTTCATAGGGTGACGCAACCCTTCACAGTGAGTTGGGAGACTTAAGCACTGGTGAGCAAACAGTGGTGGAGCCTACAGCAGGAGCTTGCTGACCAGGAAGAGACTAAAATCAGTTAGTACTGCTTAGACTCTAGGAAAAGGCCAATGCAGGAAAGAAAGGTGAATATCCCTCTTAATAATAATAATAATAATAATAAGTACTATTTATTTTATTTCAGTGGCTTTAGAAGTGCAAATAATTTTTGGTTACATGGATGTATTGTATAGTAGTGAAGAAGTCTGGGCTTTAAGTACCTGTCACCCTCACCTGGACACATTGTACCTGATAGGTGATTTTTTTCACCCCTCCCCACTTCCTCGTTCCCCTTTCTGAGTCCCAGTGCCCATTATACTATTCTGTGAGCCCTTACAGACCCTTAGCTTAGCTCCCACTTACTCTAAGGCCTAGAGAAGTTGGTTAAGTGACTTCTGCCAAGGCCACCTGACTCATTAACGGCAGAGCCTATTTTGAACCCAGTTCTCTCTAACTTCATGTCTTGCGATTTTAAACCCTATTCACAAAACCTCTGAGGACTTAGGGTTGATTGAGGGTTTTTCTGTGTGAATGCCCAAAGCAAATTCAATCTCAAAGAGGACGCTTCTGTGAGCTCCTTATATCAGGGTTTGTTTCCAGCACATCTCTTCAACCTGAAAATTAGTTACTTGGTCTGAGTTCATGAATTTTTCTTTTTTCTTAGTACGTGACTTTTTTTTCTGGTGTGATTTAAGTTTCTTAAGTTTTGTTATTATATTTTTGATTTTATAAATTTTAATATTCTGTTGCATACTTTTTTATTAATAGAGTAATTGTGCTCATGAAATTACATCCTTCTGCATAGACATGGACTCAATTTGACCTGCTTCCTGGAGCCAGTGTCTGCCTTCTGCGAACTGCTGTAGAGGCCATTATAAAATCAACAGTCTACCCAAGTCTAAAATGTTGCTGGTATCAGCATCAAGCCTCTTCTCGTTTTTCAGTTGTCTGTTTCCCTTTTCACAGATGTTGGTGCATTTTTTGAAGAGGGGATGTGGCTGCGGTATAACTTCCAGGCACCAGGGATCAATGCCAAAGACTCTAATAGCAGAACAGAGAATTCTGCCGACCTTCAGAACATCCCTCCCGATCTGACCCAAGAAGAGATTCGTTTCAGCTTCAGCACCACCAAGGCACCCTGCATTCTCCTCTACGTCAGCTCTCTCACCACAGACTTCTTGGCAGTTCTCGTCAAACCCACCGGTAAGGACAAGAATGCCTAGTCTGTGCCATTTAATGTTAGGCAGACAGAACATTCTAGCAAGTTCTGGTTTGTTCTTGACTTGTTCCCCACAAGACATTGAGTAATTCACATAACTTCTTTGAATCTCATTTCCCAGCAAGAAAATCTAAAAAAAACAACTTGTCGGTTGAGTGCTTTATGGTAATGTGTTATGGTAATAATGCTGATAAGGAATGTTGAGTTATTTACAAGAACCATATTACATGAGTAGGAGAAAGTTTTGTATATATAATGATTATTATTTTGTTCCTATTAAATAAATGCATTCACGACTGTGCTAAATAGAGATGAGTTTTGCATGAGTAAAATTGATTTTATATACATCAATGAGCTAGCCTGATTTATAATAGTGTATCAGAAGGTTCTTACAGAACATTTGAACTTTCAGTAAAAATAGAAGATTGGGCTGGACTCGGTGGCTCAGTCTTTAATCCCAGCACTTTGGGAGGCCAAGGTGAGTGGATTGCCCGAGCCCTTGAGTTCAAGACCAACCTGGGCAACTTGGCAGGATCTCATCTCTACAATAAATAAAAAATTAGCCAGGCATAGTAGTGCATACCTATAATTCCAGCTACTTGGAAAACTGAGACAGATGGATCGCTGGAGCCCAACAGGTCGACACTGGGGTGATCATGAGTGTGTGCCACCACACTCCAGTCTGGGCAACCGAGTGAGACTCCAACTCAAAAAAAAAAAATTGGAGATCAGAGATGTTTTCTTTTTCAAGCCCCCTCAGAATTTTACATTCATGAAATAGATCCTGGCATAAGAGTTGCTTAAAGCAGGGGTATATTTTTACTTGTAATATTCTGGACCATCTTGACTATCAAATATGCATTGAGCTAGAGATGATCTGAATGCGTATAAAATAGGCATCTTGGTGAAAACATACAAATGGGCTTGTGACCCTTCAGCGAGGACATGTAAGAGAAGTCTAAGAAACCCTGAAGTGTTCAAATATGCTAAATGTTGAGAAGTCCATGTCCTCTCTGAAAACTTGAGTTCACATATGCTTAGGACCTGAAGAAGATCATGTTTTTATGAATAAAATATTGTAGGTCCATGTAGGAACAAACATCTCTAACTCACTTCCTTCTCATGGAGACTGTCTGAGCTGGAAACATGGAGCCTCTCTCTCCCATCATCTGTCTCTTGTGCTCTTCAATGATTATTCCAGTGTCGTTGCATCTTAAAGAAAAAGATTTTCTTCCACGGGCTCCAAAAATTATTATTATGAACTTAATTCAGCTTGCATTTTTTAAAACAGTGAATTCTTAAACTCCCTCTCTATGCAACGCATTTGGTTAAAAAGATGGAGGAAAACCTACATTCCCTAGGATTTTTCCCTTTCAGAAAGTATTCCTAAAGAAATATGCCAAAAATCAAAGATTCAGCTTGAAGATGTTTATCATAGGGTCATTTATGAAAATAAGAATCGGAAAGAAACTAGAACTTCAACTTTAGTAAAATAGCAAAAGAAGGAGCCACCACTTTATGGCATATTATGGATCTATTAAAAATAATACTTATGAAGAGTGATTGATGGCATAGGGACATTTTTTGCATTATAATGATAAACCAAAAAAATGATGCAAACTTTGAATGTATAATATACATCAGCTTAGCTCTGTTTTCTATTTTATGTATACATATGAATAGAAAATAAAAAGCAAAAGTGTAAACACAGAGTTTGGTTGGATTGTGGATGATTATGTTCTCCTGAAATATAATACTCTTCTAGACTTGTCAAATGCTCTGATCAGTAAAAAACAGGAAGTAAAGTCAGGAAGGGATGGTGTACATGAGACATGTATATTATCCCTGCTCTGCAGGAGATCACCAGCTTATTTCTCTTGAATCAGGTTCCATTCATATTTAATCCATTGATATTCTTCACCCCCTTGTACTAATCTTCCAATGGGCAGATAAGAACCTTTGATTTCTTCTCAGGTCCCTCCCCAGGAGAACAGTTCTCACCTAGAGACTGTTAAGAATTTGGTGAACATGCCCCGTGGGTGCTGTCTTGTCTGCTTAAGTCACTACCACACTAAAATTTTGTTCCCTGCTATATGCAGTACTTCACATGCCCACTGCTACACCGACAGTTGCGTACCCTCATGCGTATATGCAGGCTTTCATTGCATGCAAGGGCTTTGATTAACTGATTCTGTATTAATGAACACCACTAAATGAAGTTTCTGCCCAACACTCTCCTAAGTGTTTCACATGCACTAACTCCTATGAGACACAACTCTATGAGGCAGATACAATTCTTGTTGCCTTTCTGAAGATGACAAAACTGCAATTCAGAGACACTGAATGACTTGCACACTTGGTGGGTGGTGGGTGAAGCTGAAGGTTCCAAGCCCAGGAGTCTGGTTTCAGACTCAGAGCTCCCAACCAGCCACACTCTCCCCAGGAGGCATCGCTGGAACTCTCTGAATGCATTAGAAAGCAAAGACAGACGATTTATTTCTAATTGTGACAAGGCCATGCTCAAACTACTAGTGAAAAGTCATCCTTTTCACACTTCAAATACTGCATTTTGTTATTCATTGAAATTTAAAATTAGAAAAAAAGTTGAAGAATTTATTCAGGAAAAAAAACATCAATAAGGTCTATGCCAAAATATCAAGAAAAAAAAAGCTAAGAAGTCTTCACTAAATGCCCTGGCATCTATCAATTTTCATGTATTAAAAGCTCTTATCACTGTTTTACAGAGCCAGCCTTCCCTGTGTCCCCCTTGTTCTGACAGCACTACCACTGCCTCTCAGACCCTTGAGTCCCCAAGCTTGGTGTCACTCACCAATGCTTCATCCTTTCCTGCTCTTATGGGTCATCCAGGCAAACAAGTCCTGTGGATTTGACCCTCATCATGTCCTTTTCCTCCCCACTGCTGGTATTGTTCATGTCATGTCACCCATGGAAAATTGATATTTGAATGACACATGAATAAATGGAAGGGGTTGTGTTTTAGAGGCCCCTCCAGTGACTCCAGCTGCCCTCACCTCCTGCAGATCAGCCAAGGTCTGAGGAAAACCATTCTCCTGGCACTCCATCACCCATTCATGGGACAGCAGTGTGCCTCTGTTTGCCTGCTGGGAAGTTCTCTTCCCATCTGTCCCTCTACTTCCAGTCACTCCCACCTTGACCTTTGCCACCACAACCAGAGTAGTCTTCCTGTATAGGGTGCCTTAGTCCATTTTCTATTGCTTAGAATACCTGAAACTGGGCATAAGGAAAGGAGATTTATTACAATTATGGAAGCTGAAAAGTCCAAGTCAAAAGGCTGCATTTGGTGGGTGAGGGTCTTCTTGCTGATGGGGACGCTCCACAGTTCCAGGCAGCACAGGCGTCATATGGCAAGGCTCAGTGTACCAGCTCAGATCTCTCTTCTAATTATGAAACCTCCAATCCAATCCCACTCTCATGATAACCCATCACTCCTTTAACCCATTAATCTGTGAATGAACCAATCTCTTCACGAGGGCAGATCCCTTATGATCCAATCACCTTTCAGGTTCTCACCTCTCGATACTGTCACAATGTGGGTTAAGTTTCAACATGAGTTTCAGAGAGAACATACCAGCTATAGCATAAGGATTCGGCTTAATAGGGATATTTTATATCCTTACTAAGTAGTCAATCATGCCACCTCTGGCAAAAACAGGAGAGATTCCTTAATCCCATAATCCTCCCATCAAAACCCTCCAGCTTTGTGGGTCAGAGCTGACAGTAGAGCCAGACTGCTCTTTGAATTCAAAGGGTTTGAATTCTCCTTTGTCTTTTGCCACTTGGCTTGGGCTATCAGTGGCTTCATGCCTCAGTTTGTTAATTCATAAAATAGTGTCTTCTTCATAGGAGTATTGTGAAAATCAAATGACAATATATGTGTCTGCAGTTATCATTTCCCAGAGCCCACTGCTTTAATCTATATTTTGTCACATATCCAGCACCCCCTACTCCTCATTTTCAAGAGACATATTATTCGTTGGATAAAATGGACATCTGTGTCCCTGACCTCATGCCCACAATGCACCCTTACCTGGAAATGCTTCATCTTCTTCTTTAGTCTAATATCTGCCTTTCATTCTAGATCCAAATCAAGTCCCACCTCCTTTCAATGACTTCTCCTTGCTTTAAACTCCCATTACACTTATTTTCAATGTCATTTGTTTGGCACTTAATGTACTGTATTGTTATCTGTCTCTGTTATAAATATGCCCTGTCTTCCCAGAGAGATGAAAAGCTCCCAGCACTACATCTCCTGCCTACAATAAGTGCCCTGTAAGTGTTTGCTGATGATAATGATGATGACCAGGAGAGGATAAATCTGTTAAGCATGTTATTTGCTGCAACAAATAAAAGTGCAGTCCCATATAACTGCTTTAATTCACTTGGGAGATGAACATGAGACACAAGAAGTAAAGCATCCCTCCATTTGAATAATATTTTATTTTAATGGGCTAATATTAACATTCTCTCTTCCATCACTTAGGGGTCCTCTTCGGCTATTATCTGAAAGGAATAAATGTATCATTTAAATTTGATTATTCAAGAATATTGCCATTATTGTTTCCAGATATTCACTATATATAAATGTAAAGTTTCAACTCATCTTTTTTTCTCAAAGCAAATAATTTTTGTTATCATTGAGTGAAGCAGTCATGGGAATTTTGAATCATATATACAGAGCCCAAGAAAGCTAGAAAAAAGAACATTTTTTTGGAACAATATTGATTTTAATAGAACTGAGAAACATAGAAGCCAATGTCAAAGAGACAGCAGGGAGGAAAATGGTCATCATTTTGCAGTTACCAGTTCCTCTGACCTCTAGCCCTCAGAGGCAGGGATCTCTTCAGCTTGCTTTTGTATTCCCAGATCCGCACACAGTGCCTGACCCACACTGGGGAGATCGGGATGATTGTCTATGTTATATATGGGCTTCACGCTTGTAACCAAACAGAAAGCTCACTTTCAGACCTTGCAAAAAACTGTGCTCTCACACAGGATCTAAATAAATGTGCTCTGAAGAAAAGAATATATGAATCAATACAGCTGTATATATTTTTTAAATGACTAGGATGATATGATGTGAGAGCATCAGAAATACCACAGAGAGTAAAAACTTAAGACAGTCAACTTGTTTTTTCTGCATGTTGCCAAATAACTACCTCATTATCTTCTTCACTTCCAAGCAGTGGATTATTTTTAATGCTCTCACAGTAAAGGAAAAAAATATGGTAAAACACTGAGGGGTGGAGACAAGAAGCTCAGGAAGAGGGTGCAGCATGCCCAAAGGTCCTGAGGTAAAAGAGAATTGTATTTTCTAGGGAGTAAGAGAAGTCCAAGGTAGATCGGATGTAAAAAGTGAGAGGGTGAGTGGAACTCAAGTCAGACAGGGCAGCGTAAGATCTATTAGGCATGTACGTCTTCATCTTGTGAGCAGTGAAAGTCTTTGAAGGGCTTTAAATGAACCAATGAAATCATCAGTGATGGATTTTGAAACATTAAGAAGAAGAAAGCACAGAAGCAGAAAGGCCATTCATTCATTTATTCAACAGATATTGATTAAACTCCAACTATAGACCAGGCACCCTTCTCGACACTGGAAGTGAAAAGGAGTTTACAGTTGAGCAGGAGAAGACACCCAATACTCAAAATAAGACAATCTATAGTATGTCATGTGCTGAGAACTGCTACGGGGAAAATATCAGGCAGAGAGAAGGCCAGGTCAAGGAAAAGAAGCAGGTAAATTCTACTTTGATCTTTCGAACTTTGATCTTTACTCTGAGTGAGACAGGAAATCACAGAAGGCTTCTGCTCAGAAGATCACTCTGGCTACTGTGCAGAGAGGACACTGGGCATCTGAGGGTCAGATTGGAGTGGGGGAAAGTTGGGGTAAGGACAGAAGCACAGAGGTCTGTATGGAGGCTAGTAAAATAACCCGGGCAAAAGATGCTGGTGGCTTGGTCCAGGAGGTAGAAATAGAAGGGATGAGAAGTGGTAAGATCCAATATATATTTTGAAGACCAAGCCAAGAAGATTTGTTGACAGGTGATACACACAGTACAGGAGAGAGGACTCAAGGTTTTTGACAAGCATAACTGGAAGGATAAGTGACAGTAGACCAGATGTGGAAAGCTGCAATGGGATGCTTTTGGGGATAGAAAATCAATGTTAAATGTTGCATATGTTATAGTGGATGTTGTCAATAAGACATCCAAGGGAAAATATCAAGTAGACAGTTCATGGAAAGAGTCTGGAGTTCAGAAGAGAAATCTGACTGGTGTACAGATTTGGGGCCCAATGGACATTCACACCTAAGACTGGCTAGGATCACCATGGAGGCAGGCATGAACACAGGAAAGAAGGTGTTTAAGGACTGGTCCTTGGGAACTGCAAGAGGGGAAGACAGATCAAGAAGAACAGCCAAAAGGGTATGCACTGGAAGCCAAGCATTGACCATGTTCCCAGGAGAAGGAGAGACTGTGCCCAATGGAGATGAGGCCTGAGGTTGATCGTTGCTTCCAGACCTCCAGGGGTCATGGGGCCCAACAAGAGCAGTGCGCATGGAATAGTGAAGACAGAAGTGAGAAGTGAGACTTCCCTAAAATAGGGAAGGTGTTGGAGGCAGCAAGCATGCTCATCTCTTTTCATGGGATTCTTATTGAGGAAGAGCAGAGGATGAGAGGACTCACTTGAGAGTGAAATGAGGTCAAGAGCAGTCATTTGTAAAGAAGAGGCTGATTAGGATTCAGTGATCCAGGCAAAAGAGGATGCAGAGGAAGTACCGGAGGAGGATGAACCAGGAACTCTACCAGCCAGGAGAGGTATCGATAGATACCCTATGGCTCCCGAGATGAAGAAGAGGGGGGAAATTCAGATACATTTAGGAGATGAAAACCAACAGCATTTGGTTAAAATGCTACAGACAAAGGAAGGTAGGCTAAAATGCAAAGGTGAAACTCAGAAATAGTGATGGTTTGTTGAATTTCAATCAGAAAACAAAAATAGGAAGTGTAATTAACTCTTCACTATTCTAAAAAATGTTTCCTTCAACTCCAGGAACATGGTGCTATATTTTATATAATGTTAGAATGCCTAAATAAGGAAGCGCAGCATTTATTTTTATGTATATAAGTATGTATGCGAGTATGTATATTTTTATATGAGAAATGTTTGGAAGGAAACATTGCCAAGATGTTTAGAATAGCTATCTTTGGATGATAGGATTTCAGCTGACTATTAACATGAAAATTCCAATTTGAGTTAAAAAAATGAGATAAAAAATTAATGTCTTTAGATATCATAAATAAGAAATAAAAGTTATGTTTGCTGTGCAGATTAGCTAAAAGCAGGATGTAGAATGTCATATCAGTCTTCTGAATATTATTTGTCATTGTTGGGAAGAAGCAAGGAGGAGAAAAGAATACTTTGTTGAGGCAAAGTTAACTATCACTGGAGGGAAAAAGAGGACTTGGGGGACACAGGAAAGTGACCTTTTTCTTTAATTTGCACTTGGTTCATCTCTAATCTCAGTGAGGCATTCCAAAATCTTATCTTCAAAATGTATGTTTTTTTTTTAATAGTTTGCTCATGGTTCTTTTATATGCCTGATGTCAGACTTTGCTGATGGAGTGAGACCATCCCTGCACTCTACATTTATTTTTTTATTTCACATGGTACTTCTTGGGGCCAGTCTTGCCTTGTATACATTCTTACTCTTTGTTTCCAGGCATAATCCCAACTTGTGGGAATTATACCTTTTGCTGCTTCAGCTTTGAGATAAAGGTCACCAAGGCACATTGTTGACAGGGGTAGGTAGTAAATATGTGTAAGCCTGATGCTGTTGACTATATGTGTCAGTAAACCTCTGAGACAGTGAAACTGGAATGATAGTGCATCAAGGGAGAAAACAGAGTGTACTAGAGGTGGGGTGAGGGGAAGGGACCTTAAAATGAAACTGAGAGCCAAGAAATTGCTGAGCAGACTTTTTTTTCCCCTTACATAGGAAGCTTACAGATTCGGTACAACTTGGGTGGCACCCGAGAACCATACAATATTGACGTCGACCACAGGAACATGGCCAATGGACAACCACACAGTGTTAACATCACCCGCCAGGAGAAGACCATAATTCTCAAGGTATACATAGGTGCACATGTAAATTGGATATAATATAGCACTATGTCCTCCATTCCTTGTAATATTTGGCCGTTGGTTTCGCTTTGGGTAGTTGGGGCAGATGAATGAGATATGTGTTATACTTCTTTTACCAATACATAACTAGTGAAGTCAAAATATGTATAATTTTTACAGGAAAAGCAATGATGAAATTGATGGCAAAAACATTTTTTTCTAAGGAAGAAACAGATTCAATGTTTACTCCACATATTCTTCGTGGCTTTCCCAGTTTTAGACCCACATATCAATTAGTCTACTGTTTTTATCCACGGCACCATCTTTATTTGTCACGCTCTCAGATGACTGAAACTTGTCGTGTTCCCAGAAAAGGTTATTTTGGCTTTTTTGACCTACTTCTTTTATTCCAACACAATATGAAGAACTGTCATTTTTTTTTTTTTTTTTTTTTTTTTTTTTTTTTGCTGTTGTTTCCCTCTGTGGAGGCTTTCCCTTTAAAATCCTCAAAGCACGGTCTTTCCCCAGAATCTCAGACTCTGGTTGCAGGCTTTCAGCTCACAAAGAGATGGTTTTATTACAACACTCAAATTTTATTTCAGGCTCATTTACAGCCCCCATTCCCCACCACCAATTTTTACAATGGAGAAGCCAGCCTGGGAAACACCATGAATAAAACATAACATGAGGAGGTCTCCCTGGGAGCTAAGCCAAAAGATCAAGGATGGGAACTGTCACTGCATTCTCTAGAAGGAGTTCAAAATAGATACCTGTCAGGAGAAAGAACAGCAGGAGGATGCTGTTTTGTCAGGAAAGTGGAGTGTCATTTGGCAGAGGTTCAGCAGCCCCTCAGACCTCATTCTGATTCGGCTGGTTGCTGTGAGAAGTTCAGGTTGCAAAGAAAAGTCACAAGCCCTGCCTTTTCCGAGCACTGGTGGATGTCAAATTCATAACTTGATACGGAGTCTGTGCGTGGCCTTTAGCGGTAAATGTTAGAGGGCATTTTAAGGAGAGGTCTTTCCTAGGAAAATGACAACACACTGTAATAGCTACTGTGCCGACAATCAAATGTGGTGTAATAAGATTCTCTCTGAATGATCCACAGAGTCCCTGAGCCTCGCACAGTGCCTGGCACACCTTGGGTGCTGCAAATTCTTTACTGGGTAAACCAAGCCCATCTTTAATTATGACTCAGGTTTTAGGCAGAAAAGCCAGCAAATCCAGGAGACAGATGACTTCACACTGTTTTATCAACATTATCTTCCTTGACTTTTGATTAGAGATACTCTCCTATTTTAAACTACTCAATCTGTGACCTCTTTTAATGAATGTGACATATCTTGTCATTTCACCATTGCAAAATAATATCAAAAGTCAAAAGACCTAAATAATTGGCTTCAAAGATAGTGGAGACCACCACAGCCAAAAGATCTCATACAACCGACTCTCATCCTCTGCCACGGTGAATTAGAGACTGATCTGAGCAAAGGAAGAGGAATGGACTATTTTAAGAACCTGGGACTTTAGAGACACAGAAAGCTCAAGATCTTCTAGACAGTGGAGCAGCCAGACAACTGCAGAGAATCCAGCGGACGGAGCGAGTATGGAGGAGGGTCTGGTTCTATTGCTCAGTATTCTTTTAGTTGAAAATGACCAAAAAATCAATTCAAAACTAATATTGGAGGGAAATTTTTAGAGAAGGTCATAGAATTATAATATTTCAGAATGAGAAAACAAAAATTTAAGAAGAGGAAGATTAAAACTATAGACTAGAATACCATTAAGCCGGTTTCTTTCTTCCTTTCTCTCTCTCCCTCTTCCTCTCTCCCTTTCTTCCTTTCTCCCTTTTTCTCCCCTTTCTTCCCTCCCTCCCTCCGTCCTTCCTTTCTTCCTCCTTCCCTTATCTGTCTTTCTCTGAGGACTGAGTTAATTACCTCTTACTGCAAACCCCATCTTTCACGTATCATGAGACACAGTCACAACAGTACTGGACTCACATCTTCCCAATTTTGCTACCAGAAGAAAGAGTCCTAGTCTCTTGACTCTCTTTGTAAAATTCCTGAGATTCTCTTGAGTTGTTTGGCTTGAGTCATGTGCGTGCCCTGTTGAGAGAAAGGAAAAAGCAATGACCATACCTCATGATGAGAGTGAAGAGTTGAGGAAACTCCCCCAAGAGAACAGAACACAGTTTCAGAAAAAGGAAGGAGACAGAATAGGTGTGAAAACATTGAATGCACAATGCTCTGAGGTGGGGGAAGAGGCAAACCCTGGAAGTACTCCAAAAGCAAGAACCAATTCTGCTAGGAATTATACCCAGATGTGTTGAGAAGTTATGCCCTCCCTCCTTCTCATCAGGTAATGTAATAGACTGCACTGAGACTTCTGGCTGCATTTAGGAAGCCAGACCCTTGAGTGCTGCTAGAAAAGGCTTCTCTGTCTGGGGAGTGCCTGTCTTTCTCAGTCCAGCCCCTTCCATCTAGCCCAGGGTCTACTGGCAGTCTTACCCTCCCCTGAAGAGAAAAAGACAGTAAAGGTAGAAAGTGGTAGGGAAAGTAAAAGGTATGACTCCTCCTTAGAGAAAATAGATCCCAGGACTCCTCACTTCTCTCCCCCACTTTCTTTTGGGCAGGGAGGCCTTGAGAGAACAGGAGTAATTGCGAGGGTGCCTTTAGACCTCCAGGAAACACTTTAATTTGTTTCTTAAAGCAATCTACAAATCCATCTTCAGAATTTCTACAGCCTCACCAATGTGTGGAAAGAGACATAATAAAATGTTAACAGCGATCATTTCTGTGTGAAGAGAATATAAATGGTTTTATTTCTTCTCGAGTTTTCTATATTTCCTCAAGTTCTATTATAAGCATTCTAATACTCAAACAAAAATATGAGACATACATATATTCTCAAACTATTGTGATAGCTCACTCCCATTATAATAAAATATAATGACAAAGATATTTCAGTAATTTCAAATTAACATTTACTCAGAATCAAAGAACAAAAGTAAGACTAATTCCAAGATGAGTTTTAAAGCACTGTGGAATGGTGCCTTTGGAATTTAGGTAAACTTTTATGCATTTATACATGCTCAAACATCATATAATTTAGATGATCTTTATCAGTGTTTATGGAATCCTTAAATGCCAGTTTACTTTCCTAGCTAGGTTTGGCTAAAGCTAACATTAAATTCATTTGCATTCCCTCCGCACATACCCTCTGAAACAGTGTTGAGCACTTGAGGGAAATTGACCTTGGATGAAACATTTGCTGCCGAAAAACAAAGTGCCCAATCTCCACATAGATAACAAGAAACTGACTTTAGCAGTTATCAGACACCAACCTGAATCAGAACCCATGACAACCCTCAAGTGGCATCATTTATGAAAACTCACAGTTGCATCAGGGATAATGGCTTAAGGCTTAATGTCAGTCAAAATGTAAACAAACCAAGTGCAGGCAGAGAGCACCTGAAAAAGTTCTGTATGTGATAAAAAAAATCATGTCAATTAGCATGAATCCAAAGTGTGAATCAACAATTTCAAAGTCTTATGCAACTAATCCTTTCTTCTCTCTTTCCTTCTTCCTGCCACCCATGGGTTTTTTCTTTCTACTTCTTTCCTTTCTTTCTTCCCAGTCACATTGCAGAAGGGATCTAAGGGGGTTTACAGGAAGTACATAACATGAAATTGAGAGTTAAAGTAAGTCACCAAAAGTAGACCCCCAAGACAAGGGGAAATAGAACACGTGTTCAGATCACAAGGTCTTACCACTTGCATAAATTTGATTGTGCACTTCTTGGCAACCAGAAGTATTCAACCCATAAAGATAAACAAAGCCAGTTCTTCTAGAGAACCAAAACTTTTCTTACTATGTCATTCTGTTTATTTTCTTTAGTACCATGGGTTACACCAGCAGTCCCCGAACTTTGTGGCACCAGGAATCGGTTTTGTGGAAGACAACTTTTCCACAGACTGGGGTGGAGTGGTAGGGGATGGTTTCAGGATGATTCAATTACATTACATTTATTGTGTACTTTATTATTATTACATTGTAATATATGATGAAATAATTAGACAACTCACCATTAAAAAAGGAGGCACAGATGGAAGTTGTAAATAAAATAACAGGCAGGCCACACACAGACTAAAATAAGTGTCAAATTCTTTTTGTTTTTTTTTGAGTTGGAGTCTCACTCCATTGCCCAGGCTGGAGTGCAGTGGCACATTCACAGTCACCCCAGCATCGACCTGCTGATCTCCAGTGATCCTTCCACCTCAGCCTTTCAAGTAGCCGGAATTACAGGCATGCGCTACCACACCCCGCTAATTTTTTGATTTATTGTAGAGATGAGGTCTTGCAAATTTGCCCAGACTGATCTCGAATCCGCTGACTCAAGCAATCATCTCACCTGACAGGGCTACAGGCTTGAGCCACCATGCCCAGCCAAGTGTCAGATTCTTAAAAACCTGCCACCAGAAGCAGTTGTACAATTGAAGCACATCAACTCACCTGCCACTCAGGCCTTTTATATGAGTCTGCAAGCAATTGATTTGCTATGATCTCTGTGCAGTCAAACCTCACTGCTAATGTTAATCTGTATTTGCAGCCACTTCTCAGCGCTAGTATCACTGTCTCAGTTCCACCCTGGATTATTAGGAATCAGATTCTCATAAGGAGCATGCATATTCCCTCGCATGCACCGTTTACATTAGAGTTTGTATTCCTATGAGAACCTAACGCCACCACTGCTCTGACAGAAGGCAGAGCTCAGGCAGTAATATGAGCCTTGGGGAGTGGCTGTGAACACAGATGAAGCTTTGCTTGCTCACTCGCCGCTCACCTCCTGCTTTGGGGCCTGGTTCCTAACAGACCGTGGACTATCTTGGGGACCCCCAACTTATGCAATATCACATACATGATAGCAGCGCACGTATATTGATGCCTACCGTGTCAATGTGCTAGGCTGTACACACATTTTATCACTTTATCTTCACAAAAAACCTTGT